GAGTGTATCATGCAACTTTAGGGTCAGACAAAGTACCAGGATGTGCAGCTTCAGGGGGTCATGGAAAGTACCAGGATGTGCAGCCTTCAGGGGTCATACAAGAACCTATTTCACTTACCAGCTCCTAGCATCACAGACGGGTTACTCGTATTTGTACAACTAGTGATAGCAGCTATCACCACCGAACCATGCGCTAAAGTGCATTCACTTTCATCAAATACAAATGGTACCACTTTATCCTGTTTATCAGCTGGGATATTAAATCCCTTGAATCCAACTTTGTTGTCCAGGCATTGCTTGAAGTCTTTCTTCATGTCAGACACAGGTACTTTATCATGTGGACGTTTTGGACCACTGATACACGTAACTACAGTACCAAGATCCAATTCTACAATCTATACAGAGATGAGAACACCATGAGAGTTTAGTCATGTACCATACTTCCCTTATCATAAGCCCAGGGGCCTGACATGTAAAACCGAGAAAACGGGTGGGCTTGTACTCAAAGACCACCTCAGAAAGGATGATTTTTTTGGTTTAACATTGTAACCATCTCATCACCCCTGAAAAATTATCCAAATTACATCTCTCGTTAACCACACCAGGCTTGAGGAAATATTAAGTCTTTTTGAAATAATGTGACATGAGTCGTCATTGATTTCTAAGACAGGGAAGGCCTTATGATTAAGGACTGTATAAGCTTAGTATAAACAGTTTCCTATTACTTATTTAACCTTTTCACAATCAGTTCCCTCTTTTCATCACAATTTCACAATAGTTTATAGTCTGCACTTTCTTCAGCAGATTGGAACAAAACTAGCCCAATTTTGTGAGTGAAAACTGAAAAACTGACTGAAATTTTGTCTGTTGGCTCAAAAATGAGGGTTCATTTCCAGAAATTTTCAAGATTAAATGGGCCTATACTGTGAAATTGTAATGAAAGAGGTTACTGGTGGTGAAAGATTACACTATCTTGCCCAACCAGGCACAAAAGTATAATACTTACATAAGATGAATTAACTAACCTCTGAGAAGACAGGATCTTGTTCAGCATTGGTGAAATCTCTGAACAATGCATTAGCTTTTAAGTATGCTTCAATAAATTCAATCATGTTATCATCACGACCTGACGAATAAAACACAAAACTATATGTACATGTATCACCTTCAGGGGTTTTTCTAGGAAAAATGAACAAGAGGAAGCACACACAGGCAAGAGAGTGGAGCGACTAAGCTAGCACAGAAACAACATGGCGGATCAATCTGGAAACGCGATATCAGAGGGTTTCTGCGCCGTTTTAATGGTGTATCTATCGCCATTGAAATAGTTTTTCAGGAGTAATTTCAGGGTATTTGGTGTCCAGTGTCAGCCGGTGTTGCTGGGAAGTTTTCAGAAAGAAAAATATATTTAAAAAAATGGATATTCCTTTCATGTAACCTTCGTAATACGGTATGGTCCGAGTATAACATTATATTAAACTAGCGTAACCTTTTGAGTGCTATAGTCACCTTTTGTCATCTTTCACAAAATAGATCTAGATACTGTATGTGCATATTAATTAGGTAATTTGCATATCATTAACCCTTTGAGTGCCATAGTCACCTTTTGTCATCTTTCACAAAATACTAAAATGGTTAATTATTCACTGGGTTTTAATTTGGCTTATTTCGCTGACTGGAAAATGCGCTAAATTAAAACCCTGTGAATATGCAAAATTTAGCATAGAACACATTATCTAAATGACGAAACCGTGAATTTAAAACCCACTGAATATGCCTGAAATGGTAAATCAGTGAAATTTAAACCCCGTGAAAATTAGTCATTTTACAGTACTGTATGTGCATATTAATTAGGTAATTTGCATATCATTAACCCTTTGAGCGCCATAGTCACCTTTTGTCATCTTTCACAAAATAGATCTAGATACTGTATGTGCATATTAATTAGGTAATTTGCATATCATTAACCCTTTGAGTGCCAGTCACCTTTTGTCACCATTCACAAAATAACACTATTTAACATCTGTGCATATGGATTAGGTAATTTGCATATCATTAACCCTTTGAGCATCAAAGGAAATTTTGCCACCGTTCACGCAATAAAAAAATATTCTCATAATTTATTCCATGTTTTTTTTTTCAGATTTTGATCAAGATTTTGCAGCTTATGATAACTTTATCTGGATCAAAATTAACAAAGAAATTAGAGAAAAATATGTACAAAATGTTGAAAAAATTAAACAAATATATCTGCAAGAAAAAATATGGCAACACAAAGTACACCAATGTAGATTTGTTTCAGCCTACGTCACCAGAGTACAATTTTGAAAATATGGCATATTATCTCTGCCATAAAAGCGTTATAATACTGACAATATGGCCACAACCAACAAAAATACAATAACCACTTTCTTTGAAAAGTAGGCTGTCAATAACTCAATATCCATACATTGCCAAGAGGACAATTTACTCTGAAAAATACATTTGATTTCTGACACAGCAATCTTAAAGCGAGAGGGTCGTCACCAGCGCACACCTCAGTCCCAAACAGCGATAACGACACATGCTAAAAACGCAAAGGCTCATGGGTAGACTCGTTTGTAAACAATGACACGCTATGGCCATCCGACGCATGTGCAGGTAAAAACTCCGTCGCTTTAAGGACTAGCTGTTTTCATTGCTCTAATATTTCGCGTTTTATACTGCAAGTACAAAAAGTGATTTTATCATTTTTTCACAGTGGTAAATATCAAGGTATTTAGAATATTGGATGTAATGATCGGAAAGAATGAAGCACTATTTGGGAGAGGGGAAATCCCAAGACTACACTTTCTATCACTTTTACTTTGAACTCACTGCTACACTGGCAAGTTTATAAAACATAATACTCCCAAATATTAACCTTTTCACCACAAGTTACATCTTTTCCTTCACAAAATAGTCCCATTTATAGTCTGCACTTTCCTTCAGAAGATTGGAACTAAAATAGCCAAATTTTTGAGTAAAAACTGAAAATTGACACGCATTTTGTCTGTTGGCTCCAAAATTAGGGTTCACTTCCAGAAATATTGAAGAATATGAAAAAAAAAGTGCACAAAAATTTGGGCTAGAAAGTCTGGTGGTGAAAAGGTTAACCCAAGAAGACAAACACTAACCTGTTTGTTTTAGATACTTGATAGTAGTGACGTCAGCAGGGAAATAACCCACAGTAGCACCATACTCAGGACACATATTAGCAATGGTGGCTCTGTCTGCTAATGACAGCACAGCTACCCCTGGACCAAAAAATTCTACAAATTTTCCAACAACACCAATTTGACGCAGATGCTGTTTAAAAACGAGAAAAATAGAATATTTATAAAACACGAACAAATAAGGCCAGGAAAAAAAAATTCTCTGTTTCTCGTTTCATGAAAATTTTTAAATGATTTTTTTTTTTTTTTTTTTTAAATACTGAGCTAAAAATGGGAGAAATCTGAGACAAGTGCGAGTACAAGAGCATTTTGGAATGCTTTAGAAAGGAAAAAAAACGTTTGAGGCGCATAGTTCAACATGATGCGCGTGGAAACGAGAAACGGAGATATTTTTTTTCTCAGCCTAACATATTTTATACAGCTGACAAAAAATTATGATTGGGAAGTATGTTAAAACATTTACAGTACAGTCTGAGCATATCTTAGCATTTAGCTAGTTTTAAGTTGGCCATCCCCAGCTAAGCTTGCTTTGAAAACTGCCACATCTCTAAATTCTGTAAAGTACTGTAAAATACTTTATTTTCGCTTGAGATTTAATTTTCACTATTTTCTGAGTCGCTGAAGGAATGATTCAGTGAAAATAAAATCAAGCAATAATACGTTTTTTCTTATACCGTAGTTGTCCAAGTATAAACCCCTGCTCGAGTGTAAGCCCCCCCCTTTCAAATTTACAGCATTTTACAACAAGACATTTATCCGATTATAAGCCTAGGACGTAACAGGCGATCCTCAAGTTAATTTGGACGATGCTTGTCGATGAAGACACTCGTGTACACACGACGATTTGTTTATGAATAAATTAGCATAAATTATCGCTCTGGATAAGTTTTAGCTTTTATCCGTTTATAAGTCCCCCCCCAAAAAATTTTTTGTCAATTTGCCGTTTTCTCGGACAACTACAGTATTTTACATTTAGTGAAAATAAATTCCATACAAAACAACCAAAAAGTCATTTCAGTGAAAATTAATTCCAGCTAAAATAAAGTATTTTACAGTGATCAGTCTAAATGTAATTTGGTATTAGTGACATGGGTAAATACCAAATGAGTTGTAATCATTGACGACAATGATACGATAAAAACAAGAAACTTGAAAGTTAAGTTGAGCCCCCAGACTGTACTGTACACATGAACACTGTTGTTGCTAGTTGCATCATACTCAAGATCAGGGGTTTCGTTAAGAGCCGGCCGCCGGCCATATGGCCTGCCATAAACCCAAATTGGCAGTGTATACTCTGCCCTCTCGATCGCCTACGCCAGTCTTGCTGCAGCGCTTCGCACTGCTGAAGAGCCTTTTTATTTTT